TCTGCTTCTCCGAGGATGGAGAAATTCATGCAGTGGAGGATAGGAAATCAGAGCCTTCCAATAATCTTCCTAGTACAAACAAAAAGTTGAGACATGTTAGTCGCAAGGTTACTCTAATATATTGATGGATTGCAGTTTTTTAGTTTTTTATTACTACCTCCGTCCCCCTAAGTTTGGGACAAGAGAAGGTGGCACGGTTATTAATAAAAGTGGGTTTATGTGGTTGATATTGAATTGATAAAGTAAGAATAAAGTAGGAATGATTTATAACCACACGAACTTTACCAAATAAGGTATGAAACAATCTTAGTAAGACGGAGACCGAAATGGTAAAATGGGACGATCATAGCGGGACGGAGGGAGTATTTTTTCGAAAACACCGAAGGGATCCTAGCGGGTACGTAGGCGCACCAGTTATGATGTTGTTTATTTGAGAGGTCGTGGGTTGGGAGTGACCGCTAGTCAAAATGAAAACGCAGGCTTACTCCTATACACACACCTTGTGGTGGGACCCTTACTCGGACCATCTGTTTGTGAAAACGTCAATGTGCATTAGGTTGCCCTTTGTGTATTCCAACACTAATCACTCTTTCTTTGTAAATGGAATGTTTTTTTTTATGAAAAAAAATAAAACAGCTGAAGTACGAGGAAAATGAGGAAAAAAACTATAGTGGGAGCTACAAGGACATTGTTTTATCATTTGAAAAGGTGAAGTTTACTTCTTATTTTTGACACCTCAGCTGCATAGAGAGGTTTAGTGATTCCATTTTTTTTAGTAGGGTGAGGAGAGTGGGAGTGGAGATGAAGGGACTAAAGAGACAATTTGCCCAAGAGAGGTGGAGGGCATTTTGGAACCTTCTGGATCAAGTGCCTATGATCATCCCTCAAATGCCAGTAGAGGTTCCTTTGCCTTTCCGGTGTAAGTTGAACTTCATTCACATCCTAATCACTTCAGGTTTTTGTGTGTGTGTCTTGAATTTATATGTACTTATGAGTGCTTTGGATATTGCAGATTAGGGTGGGAGTGGGTGGGAAGTCCGGTTCACATGCCTAAACCAGATGGTCCATATTTAATGAAACATAGAGCCCGTCGCCTTTTCGTTCAATGTTGTACATTTTGATTCACTCTTATCAAGTTTTCATTTTTACAATTGATACAATATTTATGTCACGAGTACATTTGGCCATACAAAAATTCGTTTGACTGCCTTCCTGATTGAATTTTTAATTGAAATTTGGTATGAATAAACTAAACTTGATGAAGAAGATGTTCAAAAAAATTCATCAAAAATTCCACCGACAAACGCCCCAAATGGCGATGGCCGGACAAAGCCCCCTATATAAAGGGTGATTTGCACTTTTTAAGTTAGTTCGACGGCTTATTTGACCCTTTAGACAAATAAATTAATAGTTTATCAGCATTTATAATATTTAATATTCAAAGAAAAGTAAACGAGTCAGCAGTAAAAATGTTATAAAATTTACTATTTCATTCCAATGAATCATGTAAAATGTATAGTTTACCCCATAATTTAACTAAAAAAATTAAAATAAATGTAATTTGATGTTTTTATCATCAAATATATTTTAATACATGTATAGTAAAAAAAATATAATAAATATAAGTATGTCTTATTAGAAAACTTCATCATAATAAATGCATGAAATGTATAAAAGTTAAAATTGTACGTAGTATGTGCTAAAATGTTTTTTCATATCTAAATTATTTATTTATAGGAAAAATAATTTAAATATCTTAAACTTGAATGGGATGTCAAATAAGTTTCCAAACTTGCACATGTAATATATATACCCAAAATTTATATAAAAAAATTATTTTTGCAACATGATTGTATGTTTTTTACAAATAAATATTTATTGATTAAGTTTAACCAAAATCAAAGACTGTTATTCCAAAAATGTAATGATGTGTTCAGAATTTCACAACAAGACTAAAATTAATATTTATGATTTTGTGGTGCTTCATTTATACGGGAAAAATAATAATTTTGCAATTTAAAATCAAAGAGTTAATATTTTAACATAAAAATAAATCTTTATTTTTAATTTTCAAGATTTTTTATTTTTCAAATTTCAAAGTTTAAATATGTAATTTATTTTTGTTTATTTGAAAATATATTTTATTTACATAAAGTCAACGAGAGTAAATTTACTCCTTTATAGGAATATTTGGGGTATATTTGCACCTTTTATATGTTTAGGGATACATTGGTAGTGTTGAGTATCTAGTTTTGTTGATGACTATATAGGAACAAAGGATAAAACTGTTCTATGGTTGAAGTGAACACGTGTGCATTAATTGATGACTAACCACGTAGGTGCAACAACAAAGAGAACTAATTAAGCTCAGTTCTGTTCTATAGTTGACGTACAAAATGAATAAATATGTGCTTGCATCATAATACTATGCTAAGGTTGATTTGTCTCCTACGTGTCATGATCTTTGTTAAAATAGTCTTGCATGATGTAATTACACGTGGCTCAATTTGAATATCCTTCCATGCATGACTTGACACTTACTTGGAAAAGAAACAAGTTTATAAAAGGAATCCTTATTTCATCACCTTGTGACTGTAACACTTTTACATATGCTAAAAGAATATCTTGTCACATTTGTGAAGGTTGACCGTAGCCTCTTTAGGTAATACATTAAAATAAATATCTTGGAGTATTCTTGTTTGAATATATTATTGTGGCCCTAGCATTTATGAAATATATTATTGTGCGTGACTGATATACTACTTCCTTTTATATGTGATTATGATATCTTGTGAATCTTAATTTGATTGCCTTATGTCTTGAGCTCAAATAAGAAGGAACTACATAGAAGGAATGTAGTTCGAATAATATCAAGGCAAGTCCCATAATTAGCTACAAGACTATTCAAGGAAAGAGATGCATTAACGGACATATAAAAGAAGCCTATATATGCCGAAGATCAAGGGGAAAAAAGAGTGTGCTTAACCGAGCTAATATTGAGAGACATACACGAAAGAATTACCAAGTCCAAGGCACCTGAACCGGTTGAATAAGAGTTCTAGATAGAGTTCCTTTTTCACTTCTTCATATTGTAACTGGGTTGAGGAATTGGCTAAGTGTAGCCACCTCGGGTTGGGTTGTGTGAGTGAGAGCTTTGTTGTAAAGCTGAGAGGTTCTCTACCCGCAAGGTAGAAGAAGCATAACTCTTCCTAGAGAGGATAGAGTTGGAGTGGTTCAAGGGTAGACTAGTAGAGTTTATCTTGTAACCACAAAAGGCTTTATAGTGAAGTTGTAAAAATTCCTTCGAGAAAGGTCGAAGTTTTTTTAATCACTTTGAGCCAAGAGATTATTCCTCGTTAAATCCTTGTGCACTTTATATTCTCGCAATACCCTATACCCCACACTAGAAATTGGCAAAAAACTGTCACAGTCTCACACACACACAATTCACCCCCACCCCCCACCCCACCCCTTATACTTTAGGGGTATATATGCACATTACCCCTATTTTAAAATATCATATACAATGTCGCAAATTATTTTAAATGACCACATTTTACCTTATATATTGAAAATAAAATGTACTATGTCATGTCTGGTTAATTACACTCTTTCTGTTTTAGGTGCAATATTATTGTATCTTCATCTCAAGACGTCATTTAGCTTCCTTATTAGACATCAAGAAATTCGGTAAAAGAGCTTCAAGCTATAAAGAAATTCTCATCCTCAAAGACTAGACTATAAAAAGGTTTTGATCGACGAATATTTGTATATTCATATGGACTAAGTATATAAAAAAAAATTGTAATATTAAGATGAGACACTAGGACTAAGAAATTTAAAGCCACAGAAAGCATAAGAATATTATCATGCAACTATTACTTAGTATTTTTAGACCTTTGAGACCCTAAGAAACTTAAGGTCATAGAAAGTGTAAAACATTTCACCCACACAATATATTTGACAAAATTGCGTGTTTATATGAAAGAAAAAATGGAAACTAATAATCCAACCTTTTAACGGTCTTCTTTTAATAATCTCACCTTTTGATTATTCATGAATAATCCAACATTTGCACCTCATCTTCATTCATTGGTCCAATGGTCCCTAGTCGGTAAATGACCTACTATTCCAAGTTATTTTCTTATCTTTCCAAAATATTATCTTTGTGAAAGATGAGATTTATGGTATAATGATTTGCAAAGATAATAAAATAGCTTGGAATGGCAAGTAATCAACCGGTCAGGGACCAGTGAATGAAGATGAGGTGCAAAGGTTGGATTATTCATGAATAATCAAAAGGTGGGATTATTGAAAGAAGACCGCTAAAAGGTTGGATTATTAGTTTCCATTTTCCCTTTGTGAAAAAGGTTTATATTAATACATTTTCTTAATTTACAAATTTTATTATCCTGTGCATCACACGGGTAAAATACTAGTATATACTACTTATTACATTTGCAAGCTTGAAATACTTATCTCACACTAGCTACTTCAAATTTGGGATGATTAAATTATGAAATAATTACATAAATATGACCAAAATAAAGATGATTTACAAAAATATGAGTAGTTACTAGAGTAGTAATGAAATCATAGTAATTCATGTTTAAGTTTTTAACTTAAGCTACCACAACATTATGTTGTAGTAATGAATAGTCAATTTTATGTAAATAAGTTTTATTTTAGTAATATTTTTGTAGAAAACCCATTAAATTATTTATCCCTTATTTAGATGCTAAAGAAAAAGAGTGAAAATAAAACATACTTCTATTATTTTCCGATTTAAAACCAAATCAAATCATTTGATTTGAAGAAATTGTTACCAAACAGTTTTCAGATAAAATCGAAGCAACAATTTTCATTTTGGTTCGATTAAACCAAACTATTTTACCCAACCCTACTTTCTACCAATGATTGCAAATTATTTTTGCTTAAATTTGAGACGCTGATGACATTTTTCGAAGTCTTTTTTTCTTCGTTAACGACACTTTTGATGGAAAAGGATTGAGATTAGATAATTAATTAAAAGGCGACACGTCCACTAATTAATTGACTCCTGTCGTCTTCCTCACTCCCCCATTATCACCTTCTCTTCTTTTCCATTCATTCTGAGTTCTTCAGTTAGGGCGATTTTGAATTTCGATTCAGGTGAAAGGAAGCACAATGAGGGAGGCTGCCGCTGTGGCGGCTCCGTCGAGAAGCAGCAGGTTCCTGACACAGTGGTGTCGGAGCCAGGATCGGAGGAGTCCGAAGTGGAGCAAACAGAAACCAAAATGGGATAAGATTAAGGCGCAGATAGGGACTGCTTCCACTTACTCTTCCAGAATCAGTACTAATATACCTCTCTATGAACTCCCGCAGGTAATCAGATTAAGTTTCGTTTTTCTTTTTCAGTTTTTGCCGTGTTTATGTGTTTTCTGAACATGGAACTACTGAATTTTAGTAGATATGTTTTAAACTGCAGGCTTCGTTCGATCGATATCTGGAGGATAAGCCCAGAGTTTTCAAGGCTATATTTCCAGACAAAAGGAGGAGCCAGCAACTCAACGAGGTACCAACTCAAAAATTCACTGCCCCATCTTTATCTTCATAATGCGTATTAAATTATTATGATTATGCTGCATTTTTTAAATATGGAGACTCTTTTAAGTCCCACTCGATGTTCAATACTTCATCAATAGATACTGCAATGCAATTGTATTAAAATAAACTACGAATACGACTACAATTGCTCACAATTCACCAATTAATTTCTGCTCTACTTCTTTGTTTCTACTCTTCACTGCGAATTATTGGCCGTTTAACATGACAATAGTTATTTTGGAGCATTAAACTTAATGTGCGTACTACAGAATTCAGATAGCCAGGATAAGAGAGACTAGCGTTCTCTTAAATTAGGAACTTAGTTCTATGAATATATGATATGCAAAAAATGGTGAATAAGAAATGGAATGTGAAAGAATTACATGCAGTCATGCATGATGTAGAGAAATAAAAGCTAGTGATTAGTGCTTTCGTAAATGATGCCTCCTTTGGATGTTATAATAAATCCAATTGCTACAGAGTTATTTTGTATCATCATTCTTGGACGGGTATAGCTTTTTGGCGGACTATTTAATCAAGATTAAACACACTATTGGAAGATTTAACACGCTATTGGAAGCTAATGAGAATAATCCCTTCTAACTGTTGTAGCCATAATAAGGTCAGCACTGATAAATGTGTGATGATTATGGAGTTGTGGCATTTTCTTTTAATTCCTCTGATTCTTTGGAAAAGTAATGATATGGTATCAGTTTGAGAGGCATCTATCAGTTTGAGAGGGAAGTAGGTTCGGTGTGACTTAAGATTTTTTTAGTTGGGCTGAAATTTCTATTCTGATATGTTCTGGGACTGAAACCACTCCAAGTAAAAACATCCTAAATGTGTTGGAAGTTGAACTTATGTTCAACCTCTTTTTCTCCTTTCGTAGAAGTCCCTCCACACCCTTGGTGCATGGGTTTGTTATTTATCAAAATAGAAAATAATCTTTCCTCACATTCAAGCTAGCCTCCAGGTTGTGATCCAATAGCCATGCTCAAAGGATATTGGCCCTACTGTTCTATCACATTGTTTGAAACTTCATCTGCTCTAGTGTTGTTTTATGTTCTCTTCCACTGCACTGTGTTGCTTTTGTGCTTAGTAATTATTATTATCGATGTCACCGTTGTATCTGAGGAGACATCTTGGTTCATGTAAAACACAGTTTCCTTCAAATAGATTCAATCTTCTCCCAGGTATGTTAAGTTATCAATACGTCTTTCGTTTATGATACAACTAATATAAATTGCCTACAATATGAGTAAAACATAAGGAAAGTGCAAAAATAGGAGTTCATGTTTTAGTTTCTTTAAATAGGAGTCAAATATTGGGTGTGGACAAAAATATCCTTTAGTGTTTAGGGTTAGATTATAGGGTTTAGTAGGGTCTAGTGGTGGCTGTTAGTGGCAGCGGTGGCAGTCCGGCAGGAGTGGACTGAGTGGTTAATAGCTTCAAACCCTACAAGGGTGTTTTTGTCCTATCACTATTTTGCACTCCTATTTAGGGAATTTTAAACATTAGCTCCTATTTTTGCATTTCAGCTATGTTTTGCTCCTATTATGAGAATTTTGTCTAAAACTAGCCCAACACGATATGGGAAGAACACAAACAGTGTGTTACGTAATTACATTAGTGTGGTCAACTGATTTAGTAAAAAGCCAAACCAAACAAATTCAATATATTCCACTTGGAACTAAGGTCTGAGGGGAACATGTTCCAATTGGCTAACACAATCTTTTTATTGCACTCTCATTACTTATGTTCCAAAGAACATGACCCTTAAAAGTACAGGTTTTTAACTTTTAACTCCATTATCAGTGTGCACTAAGTGACAACCTTATGACTACAAAATGTTAGAATTGGCCGGTGTCATTGGCTTCCAAAAGCTATTACAAATTTACATTAGCTAGTGAAATATGATCAAGTAGCCAGTTAGATGATTAAAACTGTCCGAAATTTGTGTTACAAATTAATTCATGATTACATGTTTGAGTATAAGTGCATAACATATTTGTACTGTTCAAACATTCAAGCTCTATTTGAGAAACTCTTACTCTGTAGCTTTGATTCCCCATATCATGAGTATACTTTGAGACTCAAATTGTAACGAACCATGTTGTTCATGACTGCATGTAGATGCATTAAGTTAATCTCCTAATGTAGGAGAATATTAATTATTGGTTTTGTAACACATTAAATTTCTTTATGGGGTATTAAAGGGGGAAAGATAAGCAGTCCGAAGTATGCTATAACTCCTTTTCAAAAAAGAAAAAGAAAAATCATTGACCTGAGAAGTCCAAACTTGCGTTTATCAAGTAAATACTTGTGATTTGATGATTTCTGATGGGTGGGTATTAGCTGCATTCAGGAAGAGTGGAGAATCCACATGCTACCCATACAGTTCCTTTTCCTATCTGCTCTTCCAGTAGTTGACATGAGATTGCGTTGCAAGTCCAAAGGGATCGCATACCCGCCCGAGGTCCCCACTGATGTTTCAAAGGTTCTTGAGCTCGATATTGTAAGTATATATTAATGTAAAGACCCATGTAATTTAGGTCATTTGGTTTCTTATTTCACCCCAACTCAGATACAGAACTCAAACCTCTGTTCTGCAGATCAGATGGGAGCTTCAGGGTCTGGATGAAATGGTGAAACCATCTCAGTTCTCACTTAGTGTCAAAGGGGCTCTCTACCCTGAGAGGCGTGGACTAAGAAGCAGGATCAAGGGCCACTTGGAGATGAGTATAAGCTTTGTTCTTCCTCCCGTGCTTGCTTTGCTCCCTGAACATGTTCTTCAAGATGTTGCGGAGTCGGTTAGTATTAGATATATTGAGCCTAACTCACACCCGGTCAGTCGGCCACCTCCTAAAGACCTCAATAGGCGGATGATTTCCCTTCATATTTAAGCTAGATACCCTAAGGATGCAATGTAGGACTCTGACCGTTAGATGCCCATTACATGTTCTTTTTTCTCCAATGACCTTAGTTATAAAAAATATACGCTTTTGGTCCCCTTCGAAGTAAGTAGGTTCCAGTTTTCTACTTTCCGCAACTGACTAACATTTTTGCATTTGGTATGGATTTCTCTCCACTTGCAATCCTGAATCACTTATTTGGTGAAAAATCAGCTTTAAATTGTACGAAAATTGGCTGGATAAGTGGTCGCAAAGACCAAAAGTGGAAACAAGTCCATAACTGTATACCAAAAGTCGAAAAGATGAAGATAGAGAGGACCAAAAGTGGAAATGACCTACTAGCCATGGGACAACAAAAACACAAAAACAACTTTCTGAATTCTGATGCATGGGTTTGTACATATGAAATTATTCTGTGTAGGTTCTAAGAAGACTAGTGGAGAGCATGAAGAACAAAGTGAATGGTAGCTTGATTGCTGATTACAATGAATTCAAGAAGGAACTCTCAAGAGTTTAGTATGAGCTGTTCAAGCTGATGATATGCCACATTAAAACAACCCCCAATGATTCATAGGCAACTAAAAAGGGATTGAGAACTCTTTGACTCCATTGTATATAATATGATGCACTTTTCATTCTTTAACATCGTGTAATTTTCAATGTCAAGCCTAGTTAAATAATTATTAATAGCAACAAAACCTAAAAAGATAATGGTGTGATATGTTTTTTCTTGTATCATGCGGGGCAGCGAATCCCCATCAGCTCTCATACACGCTACTAGCAACCTCAGAGACATTTGTCGGGTTTATACCAGTAGAACAACTGTCCTTCAGGGTTTTAAAATGGTGTAAAATGTTGCATTGATAATTTGTACATTATGCTTGCTCTCTTATTCTCGTAGAGAAGTAGATATTGAGCCCGTTTGGAGAACTCTGTTTTCGGCCTATCAGGCTTATCAGCCAGCTTTTTCACCAAACACGTAACTTTTACTTTCGCGCGCTGAATTGTGTAATAAGCCGAAAAAGTAAGGTTGGAGTTACTTTTCTGGCTGTATTGGCTGAAGTTACTGTAGAGGACCATTTTAGCTATTTTTACATATAATTTTTTCTTTAATTTATTAATAAAATATATTTTTAAAATATTTTTTTCTTAAATCAGCAGAATCAGCCAAAACAGCCACTCCAGCCAGAATATCATAAATTTCAGCAGAATCAGCCAAAACAGCCGATTTTGGTGCTACCAAACGGGCTCATTATCTTTCATTTTTTATTTCCTTTCTTTTAGGGCCTGTATGGTTGGGGGATTTCAGAGGGGAGGGAAGGGGAGGATTGATTTTTTATTTTATTAATTTATCTGAATTTTTTAGTTTTTAACTTCAAATAACTATATAATTGGTTAAACCATGTATTTTTGTACACTATATTGTCTTCATTTTATTTGATTTTCTTAAGTGAAAAAAATATTTTAAATTTAAATATGACTCCTCCCCTCCGAAATCCCCCAACCATACTGGCCCTTAACCTCCAATTTATTGGCGTTGTTAAATAGAACTGTTAATTTATTAACTAGTAAACTATGTTCTGTTAAAATATGTAGGGATCAGGCCAATTGTATGTACTCCTGTAATTGTTTTGATATAAATATGAAATAATTCATCTGGCAGCCCCTTAGGGTAAAGTGGTAAGCATGATAACATTCTTTAAACATGTTATAATAAAAATGAAATATTAATTTTTTTTAATATTACTCTTAAAAAATAAAAAATGATAAATTACAAAACCTGAATATATTAAAACACTACTCCGGTAATCACATTACATCAAATGTTTTTCAATATTTTGATATGCCTTAATCTATGGGGTGTATTATAAAGTTTCATGATCTTTTGAATTCATTGACTTCTTATGCATCAATTCCGTTGAATTATATAATCTATAAATTTCATGTATGTTGATTTATATAGATCAACACTGAGGACATATGTAATCCATAATTCCATACCTCATAAGTTGGGCTGTACCTTCCTTAGGTGTCAAATATCCACTGGAAGCCTGCCACAACTGTAAGACCCCGATTTTAGCGATCTAGTTACATTAATCTTTTATTTTATTTAGTCAGTTAAATAAGTTTATTTTATAAATAATATGATTTATTGTTTGATCATGTGTTGTTCTGACAGGTAACTTGACCGGTAAGCTCTAATAATTTTTATTGGTGAAATAAGTAATGTTTAAAGCTTAATCAGTTTATTTTGAAATAGAAAATACTTTTAATTTTTTTAAAAAAAGAGATAATCAGATACCCAGATCAGTTAATTGGGTCAAATAAGTATTCTTATTATTAGTTAAAAAGCCCTTTAGAGTATACGTGTATAGGTTTATATCTATATTAAGCCCTAAAATTTTCCGCATACGTCGATATTTATTCCCGTAGCAGCAGTCCTCTTTTCTCTTCCTCTCAAAATACTTCTCCGAAATTTCAATCCAGAGCTTCTATTCGAGTTACAGATCACCATCTTTCTGGGTAAGTATCAGTTCTCTATATGTTTTATTTTCCACCGTGAGAACACCATTTATATTTTGTAATCCTACCAGTTTTGGGGTTAATCGTTTTACCTCTTGGTGTAAAAATTCAAAAGTTTCCTTGCTGCTATTTCTAGTTTTCACCTACTTAAAGAGATTGCTAGCAATTTAATTGTTTTAGGTTGAACAAGTTTCTGCTGCTGCAGTTGGGTAGGTTTCACATAAGTTTTCCTGAACTGATTTCCTAATATAATAGAAGGTTATTCTCATAAGGAGTTTCTGTTACTGATTGCTTAAGTTGAATTGAGGAGTTTGTAAGATGTATTTATTTAGTTCTTAGGTTGGCGGTTCTCTTTTAGTGAATGGGCAGTGGCTATTTTTTTTTTGTCCTGCCTGAAAATTTATCCCAAGAGCAACCTTTTACTTAAGGTTAAATTAATTATGTTGTTGTCGTATTAAAAACCCAGGCTGCTTCTGTGTATTTTTAATTTTGAGGGCAGGTTCTACGGCTTTGGGGTTTAACAATGAATAATATGGATTTACGTTTGCTGCAAATAGATTTCAAAATTTACGAACTCTTCTTATTAATCCAAGTTACTCTTCTTAAGTATTGCAGCAGCATTTTTCATATATAGAGCTGACTTCTTTTCTACGGAGTAGTAATTATTTTGAGGGGGTTCTTAGTATATGGGTTTTAAAATTTTCAATGTTTGTGCACTGCTGCATTATGGTTTCCAAAAATATAAGAATTTGTTTATATGATTTCCCTAGATCACGTTTAGTTGTGCGTGGGAAGGGATTGAGTTAGGGGTGGACTCGGGCCGGGCGGCCCGGCCCGGTTACTGTTTGGCCCGGCCCGGCCCGGGGCCCGGTGGGTCCATCGGTTCGGTTTGGCCCGGCCCGGGTGATGGGCGGTCCGGGCTCGGGCCCTGCTTTAGGTGAACCGGCCCGGCCGGTTCGGGCCCGGTCCGGGCCGGATTTTTATTTTATTTTTTTTTATGAAATTTTTTTAAGTTTTGGGTTGGATTAGGTATTTTGGGCCATTTGAGGTGGTTTGGGGTTGAGGGGGAGGGGTAGGGGGTTAAATAGGAGAACCAAAAAAAAAAATGGACCGGTTTGGCCCGGCCCGGAACCGGCCACCGGCGGTTCGGGCTCGGGCCCTAGTTTTCTGGCCCGAGTCCACCCCTAGATTGAGTTCATAAGTTTTTAGTTAATTGGTGTAAGCTAAGATTCAACTTACTCCAACTATAATGTTAAATTTAAATAAAGATTTCAAGTAAGAGCTTACCAGGAGACGTTATCAAGGTGCCACACTTATTTGGATAATTTGAGTTCAGCTTCCACAGGTAAGTTCACTACCACCTGTACATGTTTGTTCAACCAAATAAAAGAAAGAAGTCTGGTTGATTTTAATAGATGATTTTAGTCTATTTTGCTATTATGTGAACTTAGTGAGTTATTTGCTGAGTTATTTTATTTGCTGTATTGAGTTATGTTGTATCTGGTATAGTCAAGATTTTGTCAGTACTGTTATTTTCAGATTTGATGATGTTTTTATCCAAATGTCACTATAAAAAGAACTAATATTTAAAGTGAAAGATTAAGTGATATGTACTCGGGAACAAGTTCCCACAGAGTTACAGAGTTATCAGTTATCAGTTTCAGAGAGTCCGATATGTTTAGTGGGTCGCTCCCCTGAGCTGTCGGATTGGCGCCTTTGAGTACATATCACAGGCCCACAGAGTAAAATTAGCCACAAAGAGTTATACAGAAAGTTTAATGAGATCTCTTTCAGAAAGTTTTATAGCAAATTGTTTTTGAGATCTCTTTCTGAAAGTTTTATAGCAAGTTGTTTTTTGAGATCTCTTTCAGAAAGTTTTACAGAGATGTTTTGAGAAAGAAATTTTGAGATCTCTCCAGCAGTTTTGAGAAATTATTTTTAGAAAATATTTTCCTTTTGAGATCTCCCTCAGAATGTATTTGAGAAGTTATGTGTTAGTTATTTGTTCAGTGCATGCTTATAGCCTAATTTATCTATTGATAAATTGGCAGACTTCTGGATATTTTTGTGGATCCATAGTGACTTACTAAGCGTAAAGCTTATCAGTTTTCTTTCTTCGCATGTACAGATACTAAAAGTAAGGCCAAGACCTAGGAAGATGATGAGGGAGTGGAACGCGTGCCAAGATGAGTTAACGGGAACGACCCTGGGTGGCTTGTAGATAGTTATTATTTTATTTCCGTATTTGAGTTGTTATGATAAAGAGATCATTATTACTCTATTTTATATGAGAATTTGAAGTTTGAATAAATGCCTGGATCCAGGTAGTTATCACATTTGCTGGTGATAACTATATTTTATTAAATTTTTATTTGGAGTTGTTTTAGTTACTTTTGAGATTTCATCAGGGTTATTTTCTTAAATAGACGGCCGTTATACTACAGTTTATTTTTAAAAGTAGTAGATTAATGTAATGTTTCCTTTAACCCTGAGAGGGGCGTTACAACAACAGAATCCTTAGGATACTGCACTCCCTTGCACATATCCACAACCATATTTGGCCCAGTGATCTCAGGACCGAAGCACCAAAATTCTATCCCAATCCGTGAGTAATACTGGAGGTTCTTCAACCTGAATTCTATATTCAAGAAGATCTGAAGATCCGAGGAACGAAGATTCAAAAATTCAAAGATTTCAAGAACGAAGATTCGAAGATCTAAAGAACGTTCGAATAGTTGAAGGATTAAAGATTTGATTTTGAACTAAATTCTTTAATTATATTCTATGTCACATTGCAAGTGAAGAATCGGAGGATTCATATTTATATATTGTACCTGATATTTTCATATATTATTATTCGCAATCAATTTTAAGTAAACACTTAAAATTTGTTTCACACACGAAAAGATACAACGGGATCAGATTGAATAAAATGTATCGTTATAGGACTCGAATGGTGGAAAACTATCAATCTAGGACCTAACATTTCATAGGTTTTGATTATTTAAATTTTTTATTAATCCCATTACTAATTTTTGATAAACTTTTCTTCACAAAAGTTTATCAAAAGTTTATTAGTTTAATAAAACTTAATAATATTTAAAATTAAAATAAAAAAAATAAAAAATAATAATAAAATTCATGACAATTTAGGACCTAGATTAATAATTTTCAATCATTTAGGTCCCAAATTGGTAGTTTTTTATCACTCGCCCCTATATTAATATGTTTCATCTTTCAGGTCTCCGGATTGATAATTGATAAAATTGAAGCCGCGTAGAAGATATGATAATACAAAGGCGGCGAAAGATGGAGATATGTGAAGGAGAACTTCAGAAATGCGGCATTCAGAACACATTTCTTTATTGAGACTCTTTGA